GCAGCTTCATGGGGATGGCATTGAATCGATAAATTACCTTGGGCAGTATGGCCATTTTCATGATATTGATTTTTCCTATCCATGAGCATGGAATGTTCTTCCCTTTGTGTCCTCTTTTATTTCACTGAGCAGTGGTTTGTAGTTCTCCTTAAAGAGGTCCTTCACATCCCTTTAAGTGGGATTCTTAGGTATTTTATTCTCTTTGTATCAATTGTAAATGGGAGTTCCATTGGCTGTTTGTCTGTCACTGGTGTATAAGAATGCTTGTGATTTCTGCACATTGATTTTGTATCCTGAGACTCTGCTGAAGTTGCTTATCAGCTTAAGGAGATTTTGGGCTGCGATGATGGCGTTTTCTAAATATGTCATCTGCAAACAGGGACAATTTGACTTCCTCTTTTCCTAACTGAATATCCTTTATTTCTTTCTCTTGCCTGACTGCCCTGGCCAGAACTTTCAACACTATGTTGAACAGGAGTGGTGAGACAGAGCATCCCTGTCTTGTGCCACTTTTCAAAGGAAATGCTTCCAGTTTTTGCCCATTCAGTATGATACTGGCTGTGGGTTTGTCATAAATAGCTCTTATTATTTTGAGATACATTCCATCAATACCTAGTTTATTGAAGAGTTTTTAGCATGAAAAGCTGTTGAATTTTGTCAAAGGTCTTTTCTGCATCTATTGAGATAATCATGTGTTTTTTGTCTTTGGTTCTGTTTATGTGATGGATTACATTTATTGATTTGTGTATGTTGAACCAGCCTTGCATCCCAGGGATGAAGCCAACTCGATCTTGGTGGATAAGCTTTTTGATGTGCTGCTGGATTCAGTTTGCCAGTATTTCATTGAGAATTTTCGCATCAATGTTCATGAGGGATATTGGTCTAAAATTCTCTTTTTGTTGTGTCTCTACCAGGCTTTGCTATCAGGTGGCCTCATAAAATGAGTTAGGGAAGATTCCCTCTTTTTCTATTGCTAGGACAGTTTCAGAAGGAATGGTATCAGCTCCTCTTTGTACCTCTGGTAAACTTTGGCTGTGAATCCGTCTGGTCCTGAACTTTTTTGGTTGATAGGCTATTAATTATTGCCTCAATTTCAGAGCCTGTTATTGGTCTATTCAGTGATTCAACTTCTTCCTGGTTTAGTCTTGGGAGGGTGGATGTGTCCAGGAATTTATCCATTTCTTCTAGATTTTCTAGTTTATTTGTGTAGAGGTGTTTATAGTATTCTCTGATGGTAGTTTGTATTTCTGTGGGATCAGTGGTGATCTCCCCTTTATCATTTTTTATTGTGTTTATTTGATTCTTCTCTTTTCTTCTTTATTAGTCTTGCTAGCGGTCTATCCATTTTGTTGATCTTTTCAAAAAACCAGCTCCCTGGATTCACTGGTTTTTTGAAGGGTTTTCTGTGTCTCTATCTCCTTCAGTTCTGCTCTGATCTTAGTTATGTCTTGCCTTCTGCTAGCTTTTGAATGTGTTTACTCTTGCTTCTTTAGTTCTTTTAATTGTGATGTTACAGTGTCAATTTTAGATCTTTTCTGCTTTCTCTTGTGGGCATTTAGTGCTATAAATTTCCCTCTACACACTGCTTTAAATGTGTCCCAGCGATTCTGGTACGTTGTGTCTTTGGTCTCATTGGTTTCAAAGAACATCTTTATTTCTGCCTTCATTTCATTATTTACCCAGCAGTCACTCAGGATCAGGTTGTTCAGTTTCCATGTAGTTGTGCGGTTTTGAGTGGCAGAAACCATCTCTTTAGAAATACTTTCTAGAACGTTATACAGGCGCAGTTTGGGGAAGCTACCTTCATTTATTCTAGAACATTGGAAACATATTTTGGGCTTTCTAATGCCCCTCCCCATCTCCTTAATTCCTCAAAAAAGAAAAAAAATTAACAAATATTTGGCCATCTGGTTTACTGAGTATCCATTTATTCAAGCTACGCATTTTGGACATATTTAGAGCATTTTTTTTTTTTTTTACAGAGTCTCACTCTGTCGCTCAGGGTGGAATGCAGTGGCGTGATCTCGGCTCACTGCAACCTCTGCCTCCCGGGCTCAAGGGATTCTTACGCCTCAGCCTCCTGACTAGCTGAGACTATAGGCACACGCCACCACAACTAATTTTTGTATTTTTAGTAGAGATGGGGTTTCATCATGTTGGCCAGGCTGGTCTTGAACTCCTGACCTCAGGTGATCCACCCACCTCAGCCTCCCAAAGTGCTGGCATTACAGGTGTTAGCCACCGTGCCTGGCCTAGAGCAGTTTTAATTTCCTTTTAACACTCAGCACCTGTTCCAGAGCTATGGATGAGCCACATGTATTTGGAAATTTTTGTGTGTAGAGCACATTTTCCGGGAGTGCGCTCTTGCCACATTCTCAAAGGAAAGCATGAACCATAGATCTATTCTCCTTTTTCATTATAAAAATATTCTCTGCAAAGAGGAGACTAGCAGCAAGGCAGGAGAGGAGCAGCTCCGCGTCCCTCCTTGTCAGTGCCTCTGGTGTACAGCTGTGAGGCTGTTCCTGCTGGTCTTCCTTTCTTCCCTGACTGGAATTTCTTTCAGGGAGGAGTAGGAAGGTGACTTTCACCTGTCTGCTAGTTTAGCCACCCTGAGATTACAATAGGAGGTCTGTCCTCTTTCTCATGTGTTGTGTTGGCTGTAGACTCTGCTTAATCTTGTTTCTTGGAGAACCCTCTTCTTGGGGGCCTCTCCTCTCAGCTCCTTCCTTTCCATGCAATCAAGAGCACCTGAGATGTACAGTCCAGGCCGGCTCCCCAGTGCTTTCTCTTCCAGAGCTCACCCTTAGGACACTACCTTGTTTTATGAAGCTTCCTCTTTATCAAGTAGGGGTGACCTGCCTGGCTGCCGTCTCCCTCTCTGGCTACCATGACCTGAGAGGGCTGCTTTACCCATAGTGATCCCTCACTGTCATTTTCTCCTTGGTGAGAATTATCAAAAGAAGTAGCCCTAACTGAAATGAAATTATCAGGCAGGCCAGACAAGACTCACTGCAAATCCCATTTCCAGCACGTAGTCAGCACATCTCTCTCACCTCTGAGCCACCTTTGCCATCTGTGCCAGAAGCATGTCATTCACATCCTGACAGGGTCAGGCAGTCTTGCTGCATTCTCCCACACCACTGCTGCTCAATCCTCTTCCCTCACTTTCATGTGCCCAGAGTGCTGCCACCCTCAGGCTCCTGGCTGTCCTTCCACACAGGGGTATCTCTCCTTGACACATGGTGCTGCTACACTGCCCTTCATGGTGGGTCTGCTGCTTCTGAATGAGGCATAACCTTCCACTGATGTATTATAAGCATGAGTCCTAGCCCACCAACTGTGGTGACACCTAAGACATCATATCGACCACTCTATGTTATAATCTCAAATTCATTTTGTTTTGCTTTGTACACTTACATACAAGTATCTGGGGCCTCACCTGAGGCTTTTGACTCCCTCTTTTAAGAGTTTTGGGAAATAAATTCCTGGGGGCCTCTCACACTATCACCTGATTCTCATTCAATAAATCCCTGGGGGCCTCTCATACTATGACCTGATTCTCGTTCAAGGTAAAACCCTAATGATCAATGATCAGGTCCCCAGGTTTCATCCTATCTTTAGGGCATTCATTCACTGAGGTGGGACATATTTCACCCAGAGACCAAAGTGTGTTCTCATTATTTCAGGGGCTCTTCAAAATCATGAAACTGAACCCTCCAAGAAAGGTGGCCACTTCTCACTGTGATAGTGTTCATGGTTTCTGAGCATGGTTGTCTGCATATCAGTATGCTAAATACTGGTGTGTGTGTGTGTGTGTGTGTGTGTGTGTATTCTTTGGTGTATGTGTATATATATACACACACATATATATATGTATTTTTGTTGTTGTTGTTGTTGTTTTCGAGATGGAGTTTCACTGTTGTTGCTCAGGCAGGAGTGCAATGGCGTGATTCTTGGCTCACCACAACCTCCGCCTCCCGGTTTCAAGTGATTCTCCTGCCTCAGCCTCCCGAGTAGCTGGGATTATAGACATGCGATACCACGCCCGGCTAATTTTGTATTTTTAGTATAGATGGGGTTTCTCCATGTTGGTCAGACTGGTCTCGAACTCCCGACCTCAGGTGATCCCCCTGCCTCAGCCTCTTGAAGTGCTGGGATTACAGGCATGACCCATTGCGCCTGGCAAGTACTGGTTTATATTAAAATAGCTCTAAATATTTACTCATAAGGTTAGGCAACTTATATAAGGGAATGTAATCTACAAAGGCTTGCTGTCATTGTAAAAGACTCCTGCTTTATTCATAGATTGTAAACAGCACAGAACCTTGTAACTCAAAACAAGAATCTACACGTTGTACAGTGATATCACATCATGTATGTATTTAATTTATACAAATATACACCAAGGGAGGAAAGGCAGATGGGGGAGCAGGGAAGATACATTATGATTTGAATAGTGTAGGTGATTCTGTCCACGCACTACATTTAATAGACATGATCCAGTGTGAGCAGGAGATGGGAGAGGTGAATCCACTGTTTCCTCGGGCCTATCTACAATGTATCTCTGTCCTGAATGTGGTCCTAATATTTCATGAAGTGTATATTCCAAATTAACATAAACCTGAACAGAAGCCAACTACTTCATCTGGTGCTTAACCAAAGAAACTGCTACACAATGTTTCAACACAGGAGAAAACCTGGTTGTTACACATGCTGTACAGTATATCATACTTAATTATAATTTAACAGCAAAGTAAAATGTTGACCACACAGGACTTTTGTCTTTTAGATATATTTTAGAGTCTAACTTTTCCACCCTTTTAAAGCTGTGACTTTACTGCATATACCTCTATCACACAGACACATATAAAATGTATCTTTCTCTTCCCACTAGAGGGCAGCCACGTGTAGATTTAGGAGGGCAACGAAGGTTTAGAAAAACAGCACACCTGTTAATCTGACTTTCAAGCATATTTAGAATTCTACAGTTTTTATGTTACCTTGAATGTGGCAAATGCATCTGAAGCTATGTCAAATGTTGACATTTCGACATATCTGAAGAAATCATAAAACTGTTCCGACCACAAAATGATTTTTGCAAGTGGTTCATGTCTGATGCATTCTCTTAACATTATTCCACAATTTAGAGCTATTTCTGGAGATTCATACCTGCAAAAACAAAAAACCAAACAAACAAAAAAAAACAAACAAACATGATTGCTCTTTCAAAACTCCAACACTGAGCAGTTCAAACTTTTAGGGCAAAAAGTTTTCGGACATGTATCCTAACTAAATGACCATCGCAGATTACAGAAGGTATTTCTGTAGAGCATGTGCTCAAGGTAAACTGATTCCAGAGTGCAAACACACACTAGTTGGTGATGACCACCTTAAACCAAAGAAAAATAGCCATACGAGTGACTGTGTAACTCAAGGTTCATTATTTAAGCTGAAAGATTTCAAGAGAGGTATTTCGGGTCATACCATAACTCTATACAGGGGTTAGCTTTTACAGATGGTGCTCTTGACACTCAGAAAAACCAAAAGCTAAATCAAAACACAGAAGACAAAATATTTCCCCAAATTCAGAGTCTCTAAATAGGTCTATAAATATATAGAATTTATACCTTGTTGTTTTAATTCAATACTCAAGATAGTACTTGGAGACTCTCAGCCACATGTAAACACCACCAAGCTGATAAGCCTCCTCCTGAGGACTTCACTAAGGGTCCCCATCAGAGAGCCCAGGGGCGACGAAGCAGGCGGCCCCCCCTCGTCAGCTCTCCACACATAGCCTTCCCTATGGTCATCCCCATGTCTCTGGCTTCTCCTCCCCTGCCATTAGAGAGACACCTCTCAGCCAAGCAAGAGGCATTTCCCCTTCGGATGTGCACAAGCCCTCTGACTGGCCTCTTCCGCCCCCTCAAACACATCGCTCTCTTCTACTTCCTCTCAAGCTGCATGCACTGGCTTTCTTTCCACCTCACATTCTCCTCTAGTTTCTTGTAGTCATATTCCATTTCCCAACACACTAGCGAAATAAATAACGGGCCAGCAAAGATTCCCTCTTGGCTAAATAGAGTCTTCTACTCAAGTGTCCTGATAGGCTGTAAAAAACCAAACCAAAATAAAACATTTCACAGTTCTCTCCTTTCTATCTCTCCGACTGTTCCTATTTCTTGCCTGGCTGAGGTCTTTACCTGTATCCCACAACCTGCTAATGAAAGCCCATACAATCTCATGACTCCCACCACGACTACTAACCCCACCTCCATGTCTACTCCTGAATTAGGCACTTTCTGTTGCCTGTGGACAACTTCCGTTAAAGCGCTACCATAAACTCAACGTGTCTCAAATCAAATCTCATCCCCCTCCATAAAATCACCCCCATCCCGCTTGCTTCCTCATTTCTATAATTTGGCATCATTATTTTGTTTCAGTCATCCAGTTCTAAACCAGGTTTAACAGAAAGTTCCATGTTCTGTATCTGTGCTGTTCATTATGGAGAGATTGGCCATATACAGCTACTGACCACCTGAAATTTGTCTAGTGTGACTGTGGGGTTGAATCGTAAATATTATTTAATTTCAATTAATTACATGTGGTTAGAAGCTACTAAATTGGACAGCCCAGTTCTAAACCTTTCCTTCTTTACTCCAAATCTTCCCACCTTCAATGTTAGGCTTTGAAAGCCTTCAAAGGCTTTAAAAAATATTTCTCTGATTATCTTAGTTTCATTTGCTTTTATCCATTCCCACTGCTACATTTATTCATACCCGGACAATTGCAAATGCTTCCTAGCCAGCATCTTTGTTCAAGCTCTGTCATAATAAATCTACCCAACACACAAGTGTATCAACAGCATTTCCAGCTTGGGAGCTTAAAATGATTTCTTCTAGCTAATCAAATAAACACAAACTTCTGGACTTAACTGTCCAGTCTTCCCCTCATTAGATCTCCTGTTATAGCACAATGTCACCTCCCACCCTGCCATACAACTTTCAAATTTTCTCCTTACTGCTGCCAATCATGTTATGTTCATTCCTGCCCCTATACCTTTGTTCCCAGTCATACGCCATTAGGATGCCTTCTCTCTCTTTTCTGCCTACGTAAATTCTAAACTACTAGGAACTCCCATCTTAAGTCCTATCCTTTTATCAATCCTTGCCTTATTAACTCAAACCACATTTTATCCTCTGAAATCCTGTAGTACTCATTTGTTATCTAGTAGTGGTGTCCTCTTACACATCATAGATCCTCAACAAGATAAAACCACACTCCTTGGCATCAGCGGAGGCATGCAGCTAGAATGCTGACCGGCTCTTACTTGATGGAAATATCTGTTTACAAAATGGCTGATCATACAATCCATCTTTGCTGAACTTTAGTAGGCAGGAAGGACAAGGGTAAGACAGTTTTGGTACAACAAGTTGAGCAGGTTTTGATGGAGGCTTGTCAAGCTTGTCTAAATGATTAAACCATAAACAAGTACAAGGCAAACAGTTATGCTGTATAACCTGTGAGCACTAGAGTGAACAGCATATTAACATGTAAACTGCCAGTAAAAAAAAATCGCCTCCAAATGCAGTCTAACACCAGCAATAAGACTTCAAATGCATGCTAATATTAGCAACATGGCCCCCCAAATAAACATCTACCATAGAAGTACTTACAGCCTAAGAAGATAATCACACTGTATGGAAGCAGTTTAAATTAATCAACAAAGGTACAAAAATCTTAAAATGCAGTTCACAGTGCTCCTTGAAGAAATGGCTGTTTCCAGGTCTGGCAGGACTCATACAAAACGAGCAAGATGGTCATCCTACGCCAGAAAGCAAGGAAGCTATCACAGACTGATGGGGTCTTGCCAAAAGAACGCAGAAGCCAACCTGAAGGAGCTCCCAAGGGCCAAAGATGGGACAATTTGGACACAAGAAAGTAATGACTGGAATCGACTGAGACATATCAAATGTAATTTTTAAAAAGACAAAAACTTGAGTGTATAATGATCCTTAAAACAACTCAATACTTATCTAAGGAAGTGGCCAGGTCACCAACTGATTATACTAAAAAATAATACCTGATTATACTAAAAAATGAGACTATTTTGGGATAACTAAGTCATCAAGGAGGAAAGGTTCTTCTTTATAAAAACAATTTAATTATATGAAGAAGAAATAACAGAATCAGGAAACTGCCATTCTGAATCTAGGCAATGATTCTCAATGGAAACTAAAACCAGGAGGTGAAAGGTCAATGAGAATTCTGTAATGGACGGATTACAGACTGAGAACACCTGCATCCACTGGTCAACCCCAACATCACCAGCAGTGGGATAACCAGTGCCACCCAATATGAAGCACATAGCACCATCCATGAACTTCTGTCCCCCTCAAAGTGAATCTGAAACTGATTTTAAAAAAGCCAGATCTAACTATCCACCACTTAAATCAATAGTGGATAGTGGAACATGTTACAGAAACAACAGGAATGCCAAGTCTAAAATACATGATTTTTCTACAAAACCACCAATCCGGGCTTCAACAAAGAAATGGCATAATATTAACTATTACAGATTAAAAGAGAGCTCAGACTTACATTAACCAAATTCAGTTTGTGGACCTTGTTTGTAACTTTTTTTTTTTTTTTTTGGAGACCAAGTCTTGCTCTGTCACCCAGGCTAAAGCGCAGTGGTGCAATCTTGGCTCACCGCAACCTCCACTTCCTGGGTTCAAGCTATTCTTGTGCCTCAGCCTCCCGAGTAGCTGGGATTACAGGTGTGCGCCACCACACCAGGCTAATTTTTGTACTTTTAGTAGAGGTGGGGTTTCACCATGTTGCCCAGGCTGATCTCAAATTCCTGGACTCAAGTGATCCACCTGCCTTGGCCTCCCAAATGCTGGTATTACAGGCGTGAGCCACCATGTCCAGCCTGGAAGTAATATGAAATAAACTAACTGTAAAATGCCATTTTTGTGAAAATTGAGGAAATCTGCAAATTAGGCATTAGACATTAGGTTGGCAAATGGTATCGTAACTGTGTTATACTGTGTTTTGTACTGTGTACTAGGGGTGCATACTGAGGTGATGTCATGTGTCAGAGGAAAAAGGGGGCAAGGACTAGAGGAACAAGAATGACAGAACTTTAACTGTTGAAGCTGGGTTTAGGGTAGGAACTGGTAAGTGTTGTATGTACATTCTTCACAACAAAGGAGGTGGGCAGGGGCTTCTGGTGGATCCACCAGTTGCATTCTCCATGGTACTTCCTGGCTGGAAGTGTCCGCTCTGGCCAGCACAGGTGAGAGCTCTAAACTATAAATTGTATCTCAAAAGTCTTTCTTTACAGGCCATTTAACAATATTCATATCATGCCTCTGATTACTCTGAAGTGAAAAATGTCGGCAGAGTTAACTAATGTATTGATTTTAATAATCCTTGGTTTCTACGGAAAAGGAAATATGCGCTTTAAAAACACACAAAGGCACCTGAAGGCTGCTCTAAGATCACCAAAATTTCACACTACTCACTGCATGTTTATACATACAACTCTGAATTGATACAACAAAAAATCAGATGCCAAAAGTTCTGTATCCCAAAATCTGAAGAAGTAACACAGATGGTTAGAAATAGAAAGAGGGAAACAGAATGCTGGCGTGCAACACAGGCACTGACTCACACTTTGTCTAAACAAGTTTGAACTTGGGGGAAGTGTTAAACCGCAGAGATGTGAATCAGACTGAGGCAAGCTATAAAGCCAGGAGGAGTAGAGCAAGCTGATTCACACCAACAGCCATGCCAGGAACATGCCTGCCCACCAACTTAATAGAACAGATCACCACCAAAGCTGGGACAAACAGATGCACACCATACCCGGGGCTGGCACACAATTCTGGTGTGAAACAGCAGGACATTACCTTGCCAGTCAATGAGGCTCAGGGATGAGGGAGAAGGGCATTTGGTTCTATGGTTCGGTTTTTAGGCTTTTTTTTTTTTTTTTTTTTTTGCTTTTAAACTGACAAGACTACCCCCAAACATTAATGCCTGCTTAGACCAGTAGTAATTTCAGGAAGATGCACTGTGAAATACCAAATTATATGGATTAGTAAGTGGACACAGAGAGGTAAAGATCAAAGGGCACTACTTCATAAACATGTACTTTGCTGACTCAACAAAGTAAAGCTGTAGATAATCCATGCTCCTCCATTTAAGAGGCAGCTTTTACTGCCTTACGGCGTGCATATTATGTCCAAAGGAGATGTCTTTCAATATATAACTTAACTGATACTTCAATGAAATCCAACTTTTTTAAGTCCTAGAGAACAGAAATAAGACCACAGAGAATTACTATTTTTTCCTTCAGTTATGCTGGATTTGTGAATTTAAAAGCTCAGAATTCACCTAATTTTAAACTCCCACCTGTAGGGCATTTTCAAATTCAATTTTGCTCACAGGTTGGATTTCAAGGAGGGAGAGGTGTTCAAAATCTATGAAAAAATAATCTTAACTACAGAGAAAATGCCTCCCACATTCAGCATCCTGTTTTTTCCCCAAGGCAACCTTTCCTTTATGTTCAACTGAGAATACAAATTTTATTACATTGTACATACCCTTTCAATAACATGAACAAAATATTCTGTTGGGTGCAGATGTATTCAACAGTAGGAGTTCTTGTACCAATTTGTCTTCTGAGAATATTGTTGAAAATTTGAGCCACGTCTTTTTTGCCCTATTAGGAATACAATCATTAACATATTGTCCTGACTAAACATCAAAATGCCCATTCACCCTCCCAAATGAACTCGAATAAGGCCATTGTACTTATTGTTACGACTGAGTATCTGACTTTAACACATTCATAGACATTAAATTATCTCTTCATTTGTAATTCTATATTCTAAGTTTACTAGTGTACTATTTTTAACATGAACAATGTGTTGACAAAAACAACAATGGGTTGACTATATTCCACATATAATTTCAACGATTTCTAAGTCTCAGGATCATGCTGACTCTGATATGAGAAACAAAACCCTGCAATATGTTAACAACCTAAGGGATCTGAATTCCACCCAAATGGAACAAGCAGCTTCAAATAAGATGCTTACATTGGGAACACTATATGTGCTTTCCTTTTATAGTGATGGAAGGAGAGGAAAATATACTCTGCCGCTATATTAAAAATGGAAGAATTCTGTATGAAACTGGGCTTTAATGGAAAGTAGACCTATCTTCTAATTAAATGAGGCCTATTTAGGGAAGACTTTATATAGATTAACAATGAAGGTACTAAGAATCACATGATACAGTAGTTCAGAGATCAGAACTTCATTACACTACTGTACAAAACAGACGGATCCTTCCAGTGAATCTTACAATCAGAAAGCTGCACAAGAAACCAACAAATGGAGAACTGGACTCCAAGCAGCATTTCTGAACAGTCACTTGTTACAAGGCTAACAAGCCCACAGGAGAGTGAGTTAAATGCTAGCTTTCCAGGATATATCTAAAGCCAAACAAAGAGATAATCCTGGGCCCTGCACTAGCTCAGGAGCAGTAAAGGCAACCTCTAAGAACCAGCCTTTCTTTAAGAACCAGCCTTAAGGGCACAATTTTCTTTTAAGCTGATGTCTTTAAAGTTCCACATAAATATTAAATTCAGTGTCCAGGTCAGGTGGAGGCAGACAAAGGAGAAGGAACCTAGATGTTCCACTACATCCCCAACTTTGCAGAGGAAATAAAAATTGTTGCTGTTGGAATTTGATATATTATTAAAAACAGATGAAATCAGCTATAAAATGGAAACACTGCAGTTCTATCTGCTCTACAGTAGGACAGAAATAAAATTTTACTTTATTATCAGTATTATACTCAACTTATGAACCATACCCTCTCCTTTTCCAAAATTTAATCTGACTATATGTCTGTCATTTTCTCCTCTGAAACATGTACCTGTCTTTCAAGCACCTGTACAGACATCCACTCATTCAGGCTGACAAACACTGGGGCTTAAAACAAAGCACACTGATGACAAAGAGCCACGGCGCTTCATTAGCTTCATTACCATATATGCATCGCGACTATTCAGATGGTCTCCAGGATCATTATTCTCACTGTTAAATTCACTAAATATTTAACATAGCATGATCCAACTGTATTAACTTGGGCAACAATGTCAAACGCCTACCAGGGCTGGGCAGGAGATGCAAATGGGCCTGAGACAGGAGAAGCAAACCCAGGTGTGGATGCCCTGTGATGCTACTCTGCCCTAGCTGAAGGGTCAAGTAGGACTATATACCCAATATTGCTAGAATCAAATTTTTCAAGAGAAGCCAGAAATTTAGACTGTGTATAAATGTCCTGTCACTTAAATGTTATACTAATTTAAAATTTAAAAGCAGTGCTAAGCAAACAAAACACATATGGTCTCTGGCTGTAATGAATTAACAGGTAACAAAGAGACATAACTGGATAGTTCTCTATGATTGTATTTTCCTCTGAAATTCTAACATTCTATAGTTGTCTTTAGATTGTTTATTCTTTGAAAGTCAAGGGCCAGTGAATTATTAGAGTACTACAGTGCTCTAATGAGCAGTTGTTTTTAAAAACAACCTAAATGAAAGGGCATAATGAGCATCTAAGAAACTACACATCCAATGTGATGAAACAGGGAAGAATCCTGTCCCAAGCCTGAAACACCCCTAGGTTCCTGCCTTTGCTCTGCTAATCAGGTAGGCAGCCTAGGCATGTTGACAGAGGTCAGTAACCCTGAGTCAGGAGTCCAAGAATAATCTTACAATGTTCCAAAAGAGAGAACGTATAGAGATGAATTATGTGTAGGGTACTGTTTTTTAAAAATAAGGAACTGATTTCTTACCTCAAAGTCAATGAGCTGTAAATCAGCTACCAGGGTGCTAAGGAGCCCACTATTATAGAGTTCTTGAGCAAGTTGAGCTACTGCTTCTGTCTGAGGCTCTTTTTCGTTTGTGCCATACAGAATTTCTTTCATGGCAACCAGATTTTTGGAAACTTCTTCTGTAGCCTAATTTTAGAGAGAGGAGTTGGGGAAGAGGAGAAAAAAAAATTCATTTTAACAAACATATAACACATCAAAATTTGTCAAATCACCTCTCTATATTACAGACCCACAGACCTATGAACAAGAAGCAAAGTGGGCAAGCTCCATCCTCGCCCTCAGGAGCTGGGCGCTATGTATGCGTGCACATGGGAACCAACATGCACATTCCACAAGAGCCAGCATGTGCACAACAGACACCCACATACTGAAAACCATGTTTATGTATGGCAGAAACAAAACAGGGAAAAGGTTCACTTCCTCAAGTGGGAGGGAAACATCACCAAAGAGGCAACTGGGCTGATTCCCAAGAATGAAGAGATTCTGTCAAGCAAGTATGGAGAATAAGGAATGGCATGAGCTAGGGATGAGGGAGAAGGGAAAAGTACAAGTCCTATCACAGAAAAGGTGTGGAGGAAATAAGGGAGAGAGCAGAAAATGGCTGAGTGCAAAGCTCAGGTGTTAGTGATAGATTAAAAAGTCACTAAAGACCTTCTACTTCCGCTCAAGAGACAGGAGGGTGAGATTTACCTTTTCCCATGAAAAAGACTAATAAAAATGACTTTTTTTTTTTTTTGAGACAGGGTCTCGTGCTGTCACCCAGGCCTGGAGTGCAGTGGTGTGATCACAGCTCACTGCAGTCTCAACTTCCTGGATTTACGCAATCCTCCTGCCTTAGCCTCCTGAGTAACTGGGACCACAGGTATGTGCCACCATGCCAGGCCAATTTTTGTATTTTTAGTAGAGATGAGGTTTTGCCATCTTGCTCAGGCTGGTCTCAAACTCCTGGGCTCAAGTGATCTGCCCAACTTGTGCTGGGATTACAGGTGTGAGCCACCGTGCCTGGCCAAAACAATGACTTTCAAACACTGGACTTCAGGCAGTACAGGACAGTGATCCCTGAAAGAAGGAAAACAAATGAGGGGAACTTCATAACTACCCTACTTTTTTGCTAGGCCACAGCACAGGGAGGGGGAAGCCAGCCAGAAGAGGTGGTAGTCTCCATGGGCAGAGCTGGCAACCCAGGGAGGCCAAGAAGACTAGAGTTTACAGGGCAGAGAGGAGAGAGCTGCCCAGACAGAGCATGGCAGAGCCCTGCAGAGCCCACTCCTGTCTTCAACTGAGTCCTGATAACCACATGTGGGTAAGGAAAGTAGCCAAGGCTAGGGACCAGAACCTTGGAGCTCACATGGGGCTGGAAATAGCTTTTGTTTCCTACCAGCCTAATGGAAAATCTCATATTCACTAGTCATCAAGCAAAGTACTCAGGGGATTTTGCCTCAGTAGGCATACAAAATTAATCCTAGGCCAAACTCTGATCTGGTCCTGCCCAACAAAGCTTAACAGAAATCCTGGAAAGGACCAAAATTGGAAAACACGACTAATAATAACTAATCAACAGAAACAGCTGTGGAAATGGCACAGACGGCAGAATTACTCAACAAGGACATTAAAATAGTTACTACAACCGTATTCAATATATTTAAGAAAAATGTACCATGATAAGTAGAGGAATGAAAGGCATAAAAAACACCTGAAACACTTAGAAATAAAACTACAAAGTCTAAGACAAAAATTATACCAGATGGGTTTAACGGCAGATTAGACAGTAGATAACAGGTTAGTAAACACAAACATAGAGCCTAAAATCTATCTAAAATGAAACTTAGGGGAAAGAAAGGACATCTCATTAGTGAGCCAGGGGATAACTTTAAGCAATCTCACAGATGTGTAACTGCAGCCCTCAAAGGAGGTGGAAGGGCAGATAAAATATTTGAAAACATAATGGACGAATGTTTTCCAAATTTAATGAAAACTGAATTCCATAGAGCCAAAACATTAAAAAATCCCAAGCATGAGAAACAGGAAGACAATACCAAGGCATAGAATAATCAAACTGCTTAAATTCAGTGCTAAAGAAAGAATCTTAAAAGTAGCCAGACGGAAAAAATATTATGGACAAAGAATCAAAGAATGACAACAGACTTCCTGACAGGAATGATGCAAGTCAAAAGATAGTGGAGGAACACTGTTAAAATACTGAAAAACACAACCAAATTGTCATCCTAAAATTTTATACCCCAGCAAAAATATTTTTCAAAAACAAAGGCAGAATAAACAGTTTTTGAGACATAGAAAACTAGAACTATTTCATTACCAGAGACTTGTACTTTGTGAAATATTTAAGGAAGTTCTACTGGCTGAAGAAAAATGATTCTTCACAAAGGAATGAAAAGCAATGAAGATAGTAACGTGAGTAAATATTAAACAAAAATTTCCCTTTTATTTAAAAGAGAATTAACTTTTTTTCTTTTTGAATCGGAGTCTTGTTCTGTCACCCAGGCTGGAGTGCAGTGGCGCAATCTCACCTCATTGCAACCTCCGCCTCTCAGGTTCAAGCGATTCTCCTGCCTCAGCCTCCCGAGTAGCTGGGACTACAGGCGCATGCCACCATGCCCAGCTAATTTTTGTATTTTTAGTAAAGACGGGGTATCACCATGTTGGCCAGGATGGTCTCAATCTCATGACCTTGTGATCCACCTGACTCGGCCTCCCAAAGTGCTGGGATTACAGGCGAGAGCCACTGCGTCCAGCGAGAACTGGCTCTTTAAAGCAAAAACAACAATGTATTCTGGGGTTATGTATATGTAGAATAAAAATGGCAACAATAGCTCAAAGAGGTGTAATGGAGGTACATAGGTATACTGTTGTCAGGTTCTTATAACAACTGAAGCAGTATATTTCCTGAAGACAGACTATAGTAAGTTAAAGGTGTATACTATAAGCCCTAAAGCAACCAGTTTAAAAAAAAAAAACAAACCCAAAAACAAAATAAAAGATTTATAGTTAATAAACCAACAAAGGAGATCCAAGTAGAGTATTAAAGAGACATAACATAAAGGCTATAAAAACTTATATAAACTGAAGCATTTATGATCAGAAATACACTTCAAGGAGATTACTTTGCACAGATTCACAAAACCTCAACGTTCAACAGTACTTAGAGGATCATATAGTCTCATGGTACTCAGTTATGTAACCTTCTAACCTTCCTACCAAATCACATGACTTTACCTTAAATATTTCCAGTGTCCAGTAATGCAGGATTAGCAGAATTTATGAGACAAACATTGCTTCATTACACTGTCTGCTGGCCCTGGGTTTATACTGCAGATCAGGCAATATTTTAACTTCTCTTCCACATAAATCTCTTGAGGACAGCCTGCCTATGTTCCCTAAATTGTCATCTTCTCCAGAAAACCTCCCCTCAGGTTCTTTGATTAACCTAAGAAAGGCAGAGCTAACATTCAGCCCTATCCAGAACGGTACAATGCAGAAGACACCAGACCACCACTCCTCCATTACAAATGTTAGTGCAGCCCAAGGCTACTTTTTAAGAATTTTGCAATTATGTTGTATAACTGACTCAGAGAGAGCTTACAGTGAACAAAACGTCTTTGGTTTTCACAGGTACTGCTTGATAAAGACAGGTCTTTCCAAATGTTAGTCTTAAACTGGGGTGAATTACACTGCGATGAAGACTTTAACTTTTCTATTTAATTTAATCTCATCAGCCCATCATTCAAGATTACGGCAGTAACTCTGGATTCTGATGGACATCCAATGTATTAGCTACCCGCTTTCCCACTTGTATCATATGAAAATCTCATATGCATGTCTCCCATGACCTGCCTCAATCATTGACCAAAATGCTGGAAAGGAATGATGCATGAATAGAGCCCCTCATGTCTCTGAATCATCATGCTCCTTTCAGTAATGATCTACTACAAATCTTGGGACAGGGTTGCTCAGTCATGTATATATGCAACTATTTCCAAGTTACATTCAAAAGGTTTTTTCTGTCAAATACCTTGATAAAATTAAATTATACTATTTCTTCCCTATTTCCTGACCATAAGAAAATGAAGTTATTTGGTCTGACCTTTTTACTATGCCTACACTAATATCTACTGACTAACTTTTCTAAATGCTTGTAAGTCATCCTCCTAATAATCCCATTATGAAACCATACTCAGTATCAATGCTAAGCCGAGTCTACCTTTTCCAGCCTGCTGTTACTACTTCATTCTCGGGAATGCCTTGGAAATCTCAAATTCAGTAACCCAGAATGTAATTTTTCCGGGCCAAGAGAAAAATCATTTAGCAATAGTAGGTGTTCTCTTACAATCTATCTGCATGCATTGCGTTTTCCACTCCATTTTACTATCTCTATTCTTCAGATAATTCTCTTTGACAGGAAGAATCTGATACCTAATAGGTTTTGTGAATGCATTATCTATTGATTCTACGTCAGTGACCCTAAGTAGGAGGCCTCAGCCTCCTTTGCTTCTCTGGTTAGATCAAAGTTTTAAAGCGCTTAACAATTCTTCATGTACCTCAGTTTATACTTTTCTTTGAAATCATTGTATGATTTTTAAATCTGAATTCAGACCATATTCTATTCTGACAGCAAAAGATGAATAAGAAAGAAGGGAGGTGAATAACTAAAGGGTACAGGTTTGTGAGGTGACAAAATGACCTAAGATTGACTTGTGGTTATGGTTACACATACCTGTGAATAAACGAAAAACCAGTGAATTGTACCCTTCAAATGGGTGAACTATATGGCATGTAAGTTATATCTCAATAAAGCTGTTCCCCCCTATGCCCCACCCCCCCCCCAAAAAAAGGAAGGAAGGAGAGAGGCAGGAACACAATTAGAAAGCTATTTACGGCTGGGTGTGGGGGCTCACGCCTGTGATCCTAGCACTCTGGGAGGCTGCAGCAGGTGGATCACTTGAGCCCAGGAGTTTGAGACCAGCCTGGGCAACATGGTGAGACTCCATCTCTTAAAAAAAAAAAAAACAAAAGTTAGTTAGCTGAGTGTATGGTGGCATGCACCTATAGTCTCAGCTACTCAGGAGGCTGAGGCTGAGGTCAGGAGGTTGAGGCTGCAGTGAGCTATC